ATTGAGTCGTGCAATTCGACTCCTTGGCCATCGTGCATCGAGATGTGTGATTGGTGGCACGAGGATCGAAGTGTGCATACATATGTGAAAATACTTTGCCATGCCCCTCTCTTGCTCTCTGTTGCAGCAAATCAGAAATCAGCAACTTCCTAAAGCCTTGCACAGCATTCCGGGATCAATTGCAAACAGAGGCGAATCGGGGCATCGCAATGGATTTCCGCAGAAGGCAACTCGAGCATGCATCTTTTATCATTCGGAACAGAGCTGAGGCAGTCCATGAATTTGCATACTAGTTTATTGCTTTCCTAGTGAATTTGTTAATTAATTAGGATTTTGTAATATTTAATTATTCATTCGGACTGTATTATTCAATCAGACCCTCCGAGCGAGGGTACAATTGTAATAAGTGTGCGTGTGTGTGATGTATGTCTTCCAACCCCACGTCTTTTTCCCTTTTATTTACCAGCTTATGATGGATAGATTAAGGCATATTTCAATTAGCATACTTATGCTTGCATGTTTGCATCATTCATCTGTCTTGCATGCACTGGGCTCGGCGCATCATAACTAACTGCATTTGTATTTCAATTCTAAAATTGAATACGTGTTAGCTGTAGTAATCATCGTATGCCATGTTTAGAATAGCCGAGCCTATTATAGTTGCATTTTTGCATGTGTTGCATTAGGTATTTCTGTATAGTTAGGATCATGCATGGATTTCTAACATAGCTTCTGTTTTGGCTTGGAGTACTCGGTAAGTGTTTATGCTTTAGCATCCTTGCATGTGTGTGAGTGACTGCCATGATAGCATGCTTACCATGAGGCTATGTGCTTATGTGATATACCTGTCTGAATGCCTGTGGGTGAAGGTTGGATTATCTGAATTGGAATAATGCATTGACTGTGAGTCTTAAGCCCACTAAATAGTGGCAAAACCATGTTTTCTAAGCCCACCCGAAGGTGGCAAAATCCACATTTTAGCCTACTCGTGAGTAGCAAACCGTTTTCATAACAAACATGAGATGTTTCGTTCTAATTCAGGCGACCCAGTCTAATAACCGGAATAAGAACGCATAATGTTTTCAAAACTAGATATCATGGTTAGTAGAGGCCGATCTTTGATCGGGCGAGCGGGGGTGTTCACGAAGTGAGCTTCCCCAATCGTACCCAAGTTCCCAAGCCGAGACAACTTTGGTGATGACGGACACGTGGCCTTAGGCAAACGAGTCAGGGTTTTCTAAATTCCCCAAAATAAAATATTTAGGTGGCGACTCTATATCTGGCAAAGTAGTCCAGGTTTGGCACTTCTTTCAAAAAATCTGTTTCCAAAAATGATTTGCTGGATTTGGACTCTTTGATGATTCATCGGTCTTGCATTGCACTCTGTGAGATTAGATACAGGACCGTGACATTGAGTCCTGAACTGTAGTGAGCCCATATGAACAAAACGGGGGGAGATTCCCTCCCGTGACGTTCGGGGACGTCCACAAATACTCATGTCAAAATGTTTTACATTCCCTTTTCAAAGACTACGCCATGCTCAAGTTATATCACAACTCTCAATTTATGTCTTTTACAACAGAAAACCAGAGGGATTCTCAATCAATGCAACCTTTCATAGATATTTCGTCTACGGGATATCGTTAAACAGCACCTATGTAAACATAGTATATACAAGCATTACTGTTGCCATTTTACGGATATTTCGTACGCGGGAACTGGCACCTATGAATACGTGTGTTTTTTGGTACGTTTACCCTAGACACACAGGCCAACTTAATTTGGTGATACACACCTTTTTCCAATATTCACTCATTTTCCCTCAAAATCATATACATTTGCAATGTATTAACTGAGCAACAATGTTCAATGCACACGAATGAGAAATTAGTTTCAATTCACCTAATCCTCATTCAATTTCTACAACAATTACAGTTATCCTCTCCCGATAGCCCAAAACAGATATAAAATCTCCAATACAAATAAACTTTCCAAAATTTAAGATAGGAGCGATAATACATATCCAACTCCACCATCCATGACAATAACCATCCCACTTCAAATTTCCAACATTAATTTCATTTATTTGTACAAAATAAAGATTTGAGACATTTAGGTCAAACCCCCATCCCCCTCTTTTTTTTCCAAATCTTACTCCAAGTATCAAAATCAATGAGTTAGTCACAACTCTACCTCATTCCCACTCCCACAACCATTTTTAATACAACTATTTGAAAACCCCTATTTTGATTTTAAACCAAAACCTTGTTCAAAATCCTCCAAAATCACAAGATTGTTTTATAAAAACAAATATCTAAGTTAAAAATTATATAAGAGTGTAGAAAATCTCCACCTCAAAGCTAGAAGATGAGATAAACACCAATGAAACTCAGACGAAGCTGAAACCCAGATGAAGCCGAAACCCAATTCTACTTGGATGAAAATGAAACTCTAGGTGAGCTCTACCTTTTTAACAAAGGGAGTAAGGGAAAGAAATGAGTAGATCTTGGTGTATTTGTAGAGAGAGAGAGAAGCTCTAGATTTGGAGTTTTGAAATGTTTTAGAGAGAGAGAGAGAGATGAAAAAGTGATGTAAAAAGTGAATTTTACGAACTGATATATGCACAGTCCGGTCGAGCGCCCAAACACAATAAGTTGTTTCGCTCAAGCGCAAGAAGTCTTACTCGAGCGCAGAATACACACCCCCAGCAGTTTTGTAAACAGAAGACCAATGCTAGAGCGCGAGAAGGGGCGCTCAAGCCAAGACCACTCAAGTGCAGGAAGCACCGTTTGAGTGTAGAATACATTTTCCCAGTAGTTTTGCAGACCTGAAAAAGTACTGAGAGTTTACAAAGAACACTCAAGCGCAAGAAGTGGCACTCAAGTGTAGAAGCAAAATTCTGGGCAATAAGGTTTTTGAAAAACAAGGTACTAACCTATTCTAAACACAACCAACACATCCCAATAGCCAAACTCAATGAGGGAAAAGAGGAATAAGACATGAATAACAATGCAAAACAATGAAACCCCAGTCCAGAATATCGTATGAGTCGAGTCTAAACCAAAATCACTATAATCTCCCTCCTTAAAGAATTTCGTCCCCAATTATAAATCAAACTTCAAAACCATGATTAAACCAATTACAGCAATGATAATCTATCAATCCCAATATCATGACCTATATACCGATCATTTATTCTCATTAACACGATGAACAAATTCGCAATACTAAATATACAATTCACATTTCCAAAACATATACAATGTTTATATTAAGTCAACATAACAAAAGTTTCAATACATGGTCAAACATTAACAAATAGGTCCGTATACTTCTCACAGACTTCCGACTCACATTCCCAAGTTGCTTCCTCAACTCCGTGACGTCGCCACAATACCTTAACCAAGGGAATTGTCTTGCATCGCAAGACTTGGTGTTGAGTATCTAAGACTCTTACCGGTCTCTCCTCATACGAAGCACCCTTATCTACCTCTAAGTCGGTCCAATCCAACAAGTGCGACATATCCAGCTTATACTTCTGAAGCATACAAATATGAAACACATCATAAACTTTGGAAAGCTGTGGTGGCAAGGCCAAATGATAAGCTATCTCTTCAATCCACTCTAGGATCTCAAAAGGTCCAATAAATCTAGGAGACAACTTCCTACTCTTCCCAAACCTCATCAAACCCTGCCTAAGTGATATCTTCAAGAAGACATGATCTCCTATCTCAAAAGACAAAGGTCTCCCCTCCTACAGTCGGCATAACTTTTCTGATCTCAAAAGGTCTAATAAATCTAGGAGACAACTTCTTACTCTTCTCAAACCTCATCAAACCCGCATAGGTGATATTTTCAAGAAGACATAATCTCCTATCTCAAAAGACAAAGGTCTCCAATTCAAGATTATTCATTTGATTCTCTTTACTTTACTATTATATTCATTGAGCGTCGCTCACTCCCTATGTTGTATGTGACGCTCCGAATCTACACTATTGGTTGCAGCCAAGGGAGAGTCACTAATGAGTCCTCTGGTCAATAACCAAGTAAGACCCCAGATCGCCGGAAGAGTCAAATTAGCCTCCCTTCTAAGTCCAGCTTTCTTAGGCAGTGCACTACCCCTTTGACAGATCTTAAAAGGTATTGACACAAGGTCTCATAAGCAACAATTAGGTTCATACATACATATATATATATATATATATCTTGCATTCATATATATAGACAATATATATACACACATAAGAAATATGAAATGCAAAAGATCGTGTATATCCCACCAGATTATATATATATATATATAAATGAATTCAAAGATTTCTACCCACAAGAATAAAAGAAAAAAAAGAATTTAAAGATGTTTTCAAAGTGAGTTTTTGATTTGGGTGGGATTGGAAGTGATGGTGCAGCACTTTAGAGAGAGAGAGAGAGAGAGAAGGTGGTGTTTGGTTGTGATGGTCAGTGATAATTCGTGTTTGGTGTTAGGGATAAGAAAAGGTGTTTGGTATTTGCAGTGGTGAAAAAAGGATAGTATTGGCATTTAGAGGCTCAAATGTGCCAATGTTAGAATATTCTGTTAGCACCTCTAACAACTATTTAACAGAGGGGAGGTTCACGTATATTGTCAGTAAAGTAAGGGAGGTCGGTGTAATTTTAAAAACCTTATGGGAGATCTCTGTAATTGTCAAAAAGCTCAAGGGAGGTCTATGTAATTAACCCATTTTAGTTCATTATATTTTATTTTTTTACTTATACGGAAACCTTAAGTAAATATATTCGAAAAACTTTTGGGATTGATTTGGATAGCTAAATTTACTATTTTGGAACAAAAGTGTACCCTGTTTTCGAACGTGCGTTCCAAAACGAAATTTTCTAGGGTACTAGTATTTTCTGGTAACACTACTCCAGAACATAGTTGAAAATGCAAACAGGAATAGAACTGCAATAGAAATTTATAATTGTTTACAGTTGATCCCTAAGAACGATGGCAATCACATCACCTTCTTAGAGCGCATACCACAAAAGCCACTCCGAGAAATGTTCCATTTTGAATCCTCAGCTACATCCAGAGAAAGTTTTCCAGAGAAAACCCCTAATCAAAAACATCAAGACCAATCAAAGTTCAGAAGTCAACACAAGGTTCAAATGTTGTAAAGAACAAAAATTTAGGGAATCATGCAAAGCTTAAAGTGCACATTGCAGTTTGTAAGCTTCTGATTTTGCAGGTGAGTCATGGAGAAGTTAGTTTGGCAGCTGATTTGCTGCAACCATATTAAAATCAGACAGGCTTTTGCTGCACCAAGTTGTATGAGAGATGCCGAACCCAAATGGCACTTGCATAAGTAGAAAGTAAAACCAAAACCACATATCTCGCATGGATTTGATTTAAATTAAAAAATGAAAACTACCAAACAATGTAGGGGCCAATGTTTGGTGCAGTGGTTAAATGCTAATACTACCAAGCACAAGGATGGGATCAATTATGACAGCAGACACTTTGTGCGTATTATGACAAAGGTCAAGTCAATATCCAGTGTACCCATCTCAAACATAATTGATTGTTAGGACCAGCACCAAGGTATGGCCTTTGACCAAAGAATGTACAAGATCAGCACCCTCCTCACCCCACTCCCTCAGAGAGAGAGAGAGAGAGAGAGAGAGAGAGAGGTGTAAGAGGTTGCGCACACAAATGAAGCCCTACATGTAAGAAAAATATCATGATTTGTAGCAACCTGATCACAGCTCAATATAAATACGTAGAATGCTTTAGGAAGTTTCAAATTAGTTGAAGACCTATGTTACATGGACTCATCAAAATAAATCAAATATCCATGTCAGACACTCGACACTTGGACAAGGTGTGACATATCTGTCTGGTACATTCCATCGGACACTTGTTATATTTGTATTTAACACCATCGTTATATATGTATATATTATTGTATAATTGTTGTAAAATGAGTAAAATGCCTTTTAAACACTGTATGCTACGTATAACACCATTTCATCTCGCATAATAAATAAAAAATGTAAAAATACGACCCTTTGTTGTGTAGTTGGCATACCCGACACCCATACCAAAGTCCATTGTAGCATAGTTGAAGACCCAGGGTTATTCCTATAAAACACAAGGAAAGGAAGGAAGGAAATAACCACCAGTTCACCAAAGTCATGTAAACAAGATTTTTTATCTTGACTCACTAACTTTAATTTCAACCATTTCTAGCATGGATTAAACTGGGATTCCTCAACCATCAGATAGTAGGTTGAGTTTTCTAATCAAACAAAAAAAAAACTAGATGCCATCTGCATTTAATAAAAACTTAGAACCTCAATTTGGATTAAAGAGTGGGAAGCACTATAAAAAGGTATAAACTAATGTTCTCCTGGAAATTTTTCAAAAGGAATTAAAAAGGTATAAACTAATGTTCTCCTGGAAATTTTTCAAAAGGAATTTAGTTTCATGCTCATGCATAGATATTTTAGATTCCCCTTGGAATGTCACAAGATAATAACTACATTTTATAATTTCCAGATACCTGTGCTCTGACATATAGAGTAATATCCACTGAGAGTTACCTCTTAATTCATTTCCAGCATCTCTGATCTCCAAAGACGCTGAGGACAAACCTGAAGAGTGACCGATCAATGATAGTAAAAGGAGTCTCCACTTTGAATAATCTTTAGAATCAATTACGGCACAACATCTAACTATACATGAATTGCCTTCATGCAGGAAAATTAAAAAATTAACCGGGTAAAAAAAAAAAACCATGCAGTTTAGTAAATCAAGATACTTTCTTGAGAAAACGAACAAGAATTTTTCTACTTAAAGAGTGTGTAGTAAATCTGGGATAAGATTGAATGATATTACTCATGTACATAATTAATACAACAACCACTATAAAAGAAAAGGAATCAACAAACGAAATAAAGTGAGTTATAGATTCCTCCACAACCTTTGGTTGGTTGGATGTGTATGTTGTACAATATCTCAATCATGAATGATTTATGTAATAGAGGCATCAAAGTTTAGCAAGACACACCTCCATATTCAGAATCTGAATACAGATGCCACTTTTTTAGCTCTTCCTTTGAATTGAAATTGAAAATATATCTTTCGCTCGGAGGAATCAAGTCTTCCAAATTCCATGCGAGAGCTACAAGTTAACAACAGAAAAAGAAGGGCAGACTGAAGGTCATCCATAACAGCACAGACACAAGGAAAAGGCATCAGATATCATAATGTTGACAAAAGGATATGTCTTCAAGAGATGCAGAGGTAAACAAACTTTAAATAATACAAATCCTCATATGGGTATTTTAAAAACAATAAAATGAGTTATAAGATCCTAGAAAAGTTTCACCATACTCCATGTTCCAAAAAAGAGAAGAAGATATTTATAACTATAAGAAATAAAGTCAAATAGTTTACTTTCAGACTTAAATCATATGGCAATCGATGTTTGGTTTCAATATATCCAGCCCAAAACATATATACCTTTCAAGAATGTGGATAATCAGATGTAGGGGCAAAATCTCATCTTGAGAACCAACCGTTTTTAGATGTCTTTGTGCTTTTTGAGGGACCCTTTCATTTTATGAAATTCCAACAAGCATTGTATCCACTGGGAAATGTCTTCTATTGCTCAATTGCAGCCAGTGATAAAATGGCCACCATACCGTGTTTAATGCAAACATGAGACTACTAGCCTGCAACCAACACCAAGCACGACACTCTCAGGAAAGACTCATGGGCGGCTTCCTTCAGCTCTTTGTTGTAGTTAGAACTCTCCAATGCAATGTTTATGAAGTCCAAGTTCATAAACATTAACAACTCGACTACTATAACCAATAATTAGTGCTCATTTATTCTGCTTGCTTCTGAAAAGCCATCCAAGTTTGGATTTCTCGTTCTAACCTGGGGTCTTTTGGGAAGCCAAAAAAAAAAGCCAGCTTTTAGCTTTTTACCCATTTTGAGTCACATCACCTCTTACATACAAAATAGACTAAAAAAGTCAAAAAGTCAACTTTTTACCAACTTCCCAAAACACCACCTTATATGGGTTGGAGATGTTAACTGACAACTTACAACCCCCAATCAGTCATCTTGTTAATACCAGATGGCATGTTAATTAGAAGGAACTTTTGCTTGAAAGTTGAAACCTAAGAAGCACGGACACAGATACGGACATGTGATACGACACGGACACACTAACACATAAATTTTCAAAAATGTAGGTTTGACACGTGGGGTCACATGCAAAAGACATAATAAATATATAATAATTATTATATATCATATATATGAATATTTAAATAAAAGATAATAATTTTCTAAGTCTTGTTAAAGAGGAGAATGGGTATAAATTTACATTACTTTCTTTTTGTCATTTGATTCCAAGTTATTCTATTCAAACTTGTAATGTCATTCATGTGTGTCTAAGGCCTCGTTTGGGAACAGGCTAATTTAGTAACTTTTTGGCTATTTGGCTAAAAAGGTAGGTAAAAAAAACTTGTATGTTTGGGATGACTTTTTGGCTAATTACGAAAAGATGTGCAAAAAGTAGAGAGAAAAGAGAATCTTTGACTTTTTGGTATGGATTGTTGGCTTTTTGGCTAATTTAGTAACTTTTTGGCTGATTGGCTAAAATAGCCTCTTGCCAAACGAGGCCTAAGTGTTGGGAAGTTTCAAATAAATGTCATGTCGTGTTGTGTTAGTGTCCGACATGGTGTTGGACATGGCACGTTACCTTCTTAGAAGTGTCAGTGCTGCTTAGGTTGAAACTTTAAAAGGAATCCTTTTTTTTCACTAAGCACCACCTCAAAAGGAGTTTCACATGGAATCTTTCAGTCTTAAATACAAGTCTTGACAAAATTGATCAAGGGCAATTTTTATAGTGCAATATAATTAACCAGAAAAATTTGATAGCACGAATCATTGACATCTCGTTTAAATGATATGGAATATTGAAAAGGAACACACTTGCTTTACTTCTCAAATATGTGATTTCCCTTAAACAATTATTAAGTACATAAATTTCCAAAATGCAAAGGCTAATTTCTGATTCAAATATTTGTGAGTGAAATTTCATAAAAATATTTTATTAAATTGGTTAGTGATGAAATCTACAACTACCTATTTCACAAATTAATCAATGATTGATAAACTTGCGAAGCTTAGTGTCTCTACTCCTGATTTGTGATATCACACGAGACATATTTTTTGACATCAAGAAAAAGAAAGGAAGACACTACTTTAACAGCTCACAAAATTTCATTTCTTCATAGAACTAATTCGTCAAACTTCAGAACTAGCCTACTTATCAAAAATGTGGTGTACGATTTCCAACATCAATGCATTGACATGAATTCCAGTTAAATGCAACAATACAACATACAATAATTTTAATTACACAACAATTTTTTATTTTTTATTTTTTTTAAAAAAACACTGAAAAGTAAATAAATAAAAATCAAAAGAACCAATAAACGTATCAAGGAGACAGATAGAGATTAACTTAACAACAAGAAAGCTGTTCTGCAAACTCAACATGCATAAACATAGATACCCATCATCTTAAAAGTTGAGATGGCATACCTCTCTTTGTTGCATTAAGAGAAGCTTGCCACAGTGCACGAAACCTGGACATCTCCCTTGCCCCTCAAAATTCCTAAAATATACACAAACTGCCTTTTTCAGATCTTTAGCTATGATTGATATAAAAACCTAAAGACAGTGCAGCTGTGGGGAACTGTGAACTTGTAAACAGAAAGCAGTCTTTGCAAATGCTTCAACATAATTTTGCTCAAGACACAATATGAGTAATTACTCCAAAAAAAATGTCAATTTGTCTGTGGGCTTGAACTAATTACATATATACTTGCAGCTTCTAAGAACCAAAAAATTATTTTAACCAAATGCACAATACCCACTAGCCGTAGTCACCACCATTTCCGTCTCTCTCATGCATGACCCACAAAGAAATAACCCAAATTCACTCTGTATATATATATATAGCGGTTGGGCACACACGATGTGTGTGCAAATTAAATAAAGAGGAATAAAAGAAAATAATAATGAAATTAATATTATAATATGTACTTAGCTTAAGTGGTATGAGTCTTCATACTTAAACCCATGGTCATGGGTTCAAGCCTTGTCCATCTCTTTGTTTAACTTTTTTTTAAAAAAATAAAAAAGAAGACTGCCACATGGCATGAGGAGAGTAAAGCAAGCTTCAGGACACCTTAAATTATTATGTAATTTGTCTTTTTCGGTAGGATCTTACGATCCTCGACCCAATTCTACGATCCAACTCATAATTCCATCCCAACGATTCTACATAGGATTCCAATTTTAACAGCTTTATATACATTTGCACATTGAGTTTTGTTGTATACCCAAAAGAATTGCTCAAAATGAATTTTATCTGTACATTTCAATTTTGTCTATATAGCAAAACATATGCATATATTGGTTGAAACACAAAACAAAAAAAAAAAAAAAAAAAAAAAAAAAAAAAACAACAACAACAACAACAACAACAACAACATTAACTTAATAGAAAATCAAGAGGAGCAATAGAATAGAAGGAAAATATAATTTAAATATGGGAAAATATAATTTAAATATGGGAAAATGTAGAAGAAAAAGAGAAAACAACAACAATTGCAAAATTCATCCAAACAAAGACAGAAAAACAAATTCTATGAACACCAAATTGAAAACCAACAAACATCCAACTCAGAAGAAAATCAAGTGGAGAGGTCACACAACTCTTAGACGCAAATAGAAAGCAGTAGGGGTGAGTTGTGTGCTTTTAAAAATAATAATAAGTAACAAAAAATCAAAGGAAGAGCAAGAAATCCTGAACTTCAAGAAATCTAACAATTAGAAACCTGAGACTTGCAGGATCAAATTTGCCCTAACACATATCAGCGACCAGCCTTGGATTTGGAGGATTGGGGATCCAAAGGATCATATACAAATACAGTTGCAAGAAGAAAGCAACACAAATCAACGAAGGAGAGAGAGAGAGAGAGAGAGAGAGAGACGAGAGTACCACATGAGGTGGAGCGACAGTGTCGAGTGAGGGCGTGGCTGAGGCGGTGGTGCCGGGAGGCCGGGGATAGGGCGAGACTGCGAATAAGGGGAAAAGACAAAAACGGATGTGGATAACATAAAATTAAAATTATGTAAAAAATAAATAAATTGAACATATGTAATTTGTTAAAAATAAATAAATTGAACATATGTAATTTGTTCACAAATACAATACTTAATAGGTTTTTTTGTTTTTTTGGTTGAGAACTGGAATATGAACGTGTTAGATAATTAAGGTGTCGTTTGAAAAAATTAATAAATTTATTTTGTTTATAAAAAATATTAAATATGTTTATGTTTATTTTTAGTAAAAATAAAAAATAAAAAATGTTTGTTACATACATATTTTAAAATTTGATTTTAAAACGAAGTAAAAATAGGGGATGGGGAGGTGACTGTCGGTGGTTGAAAATGGTGGCCCGAGATGATCGTTGGCAATGCAAGTTAATGGTTGAAATTGATTGCCACCGGTAAGAGGTAGTTTGCAGTGGCTAAAGGTGGTTATTGGCCACAAGAAATGTTGGTTGAAAGTGATTGTCAACTGTCAAAGATAATGACTAGTGGTAGTTGAAAGTGGTTTTCAAAAAAAAGTAGTAACCAAAGGATGGTTATCACCAGTAAGAGGCGGTTGGTACCAATGAAAGGTGGTTAACGATTGGTGGCTGAAAGTGGTTAACAAATGAGGCCATTTTCAGTAATGGCAGCCAATAATGATGAGAAGAGATGACAATGAGGCCTTGCCCTCGCCCTCGCCCTCGCCCTCGCCCTTGCCCTTGTCCCTACCCATGCCTTTCCCCCCACCGTCTCCGTCCTAGCCCCAGCCCCATATCATATTAAGGCAAAGATAGGTTAGTTTTATAACTTTAAAAAATAAAAAAATAATAAAAATTAAAGGTAATATAATACATTATAATTAATGAGAGTTAGAAGATGTAATATGATAAATGAGTGAAAATAAATATTACATATATATATATATAAATATGTTTAATAAATAAAATTGAGGTTTGGGCATGAGAGGCAATGGTAGCTGGTAGTGATAAACAATGGGTGGTGGTCAGAAAGAGTGGAAGAAAGAGGAAGAAATAAAAAAAATAAAAATTAAAAAATTAAATATGAATTGAAACTAACCTTTTTGTGCCTATTTATAACTTTTTAAAAATGAAAATAGAAACCAAATGAATTTTTATTCATAATTTTCAAAAATTATGTAAATATAGCGATCCCGGGTTTTTCCCTTTATGTACGGTATTCCGGACTTGGGTTCCGTGGTTGAGTATTGTTGTATATATCTCTTTCCGTCCTTCAATTCTTTGTATTTGAGTTTTAGGATGTGTTGGACAGGTTTGTAACAGGTTGGGTGTGTTTTAAAACAAATGGTTACTGCCCAGTTTTTGGTGTCTTCTCTCGAGCGAGCTCTAGGTTTTAGTTTTTTCGCTCGAGCCAGGGTTCCTTTGCTCAAGCGAGCTTTTAGTGGTGTGTCTATTGGCTTGAGTGAGCATTCTTGCGCTCGAGCGTGCGTTTGCGTCTGGTTTAGACCTGAAGGTTGTGTTTCTTGGCTCGAGCGAGCTTTTCTTCGCTCATGTGAGCGAGGACTATGTTTTGGGTTTCTTCACTCGAGCGTGCTTCTAGGTTATAGACCTGAAGCTTCCTGTTGTTTGCTCGAGCGAGGCTTTGTGTGCTCGAGCGAGGATCGATTATATCAGTTCGCAGCAGCAACTTCTTCCTCACTTTTTGTTTATCATTTATCTTCAAACCCTAGATCTGACTACTCCCTCTCTCTCTACATACCTTCTCTCTACAAATACTCCATGTTCTAGGAGTCTTCTACCCTAATCCCTTTGTAAGAAATGTAGAGCCTTGCGTGGGCTCCTCTTTGATCCGAAAAAGTTGGTGTTTGGAGCATCTTGGGTTTTCACCTTCATCTCCTTTGAGTCTCTTCTCTTGAGGTAGGGATAACCTACTCATTTCTATGAGTTTTGACATAAATGTTGGGTATTTTGTATAGATAGTGTTATTTGGGAATTTTGGGAAAGCTAAGGTTTATTTTGAAGTTATAAAAAGGGGGTTTTAAATTGTTAAACTCCATGTGTATGTGAGACCTTGGACAATGGAATTATTGTTGTTAAATTGATGAAAGTGAGCCTTAGGGCTAATTTGGGAAAAATGGGGAAAAGCCCTAATTTAGTGTGATTAATTAATTTGTATAATTAATTTGGGAAAAACATGAAAATGTGAAATTGAGATGAAAATCATGAAATTGGGAAAGTATGAGATTGAATGGTGTAGTTGGATTAGTTGATCACTCACCTATAAAATTATTGATAATTTATCTGTTGATGAATTTATTATCTGTTTAAAAATAATTGCTTTGAGCTATCGGTGGAGGATAGTCTTGATTGTTGTAGACACTGTATGTTGATTAGGGAAAACTGAAACTAATCAAATGGCTATGTCATTGAATATGACGGTTAAACTAACACATTGAATATGTGTCTGGATTGATCATTGCATATGATAAAGTGTTTAAATACATTGTATATGTATCTTGTTTGGGAGGAGATAGGGGATGTACTCCATTGTTTGAGAGGAGATAGGGGATGTACTCTCAAACCTGTTTGGGAGGAGATATGGGATGGACTCCATTGATAATTAAGTTGGCTAGAGTGTCCAGGGGGAAAGTCCCGAAATCTTGATTACGTTTGCATAACGTGGATGAATTGAAGTATTGAAATGTTGATAATATGAGTTGTAGTCTCATTTTAATTGATTATGATCGAAGCATTGTTAATATGAGTTGTAGTCTCATTTTTAAATTGTTTGGATGAACAAAGAACCATATCTACGAATCGGTTTGGGTAATGAAATGGAAAGGGAGTGAAATATAATTGTGAATATGAATTGGTTATGAAAGAGATGTATGGTGGTTCATATGAGTTAAACATTTATCAAATACTAATATTTTAGTTATTACTCATATTTGGTTTAGCGTATCTTTACTGGGCTTTGGCTTACCCTATATGGGACATCATTTTCAGGTACAAGTGATATGCCACCTCCAAGGACGTAGCTTGGGAGGCTTAAAGGCTGAAAGACCTTTTTGTTGTTATCATTTTGTATTACATGTAAATCAGGCCAATGGCTTAATATGTTTAGAGTTAAAACTCTCTTTTGTTGAACCCAAGTGTTGACTTGGAAAGTTGTAAGCCCGTAGGGCATTTACTTTTATTGTCAACATATAATACTTTTGTACTTAATACTCTGATAAATGAAAATATGTTTTATTCTCTTGTGTCTATGGATGTCATGAATGTTGGGTTTATATGTATTATTTTGAGGGCGTTACAGTAAATATAAACAAAAAATGATAAATATAAATGTTACCAAAGAAGCCCTAAATGTTCGAAAACACACAGTCAAACATAAATAATTCGTTCGGATATTAAATAATGAACAATGTCAACTAATTCGAAAGCACAGTACCAAACATATTTAAAAAAAAAATTAGAAACAAGTTTCAGGATAAATATAATTTGTTTCATATTGAATTTCTAAACAAATTTTGAAAACCCATTGACCGATGAACAAAAAAACTTACATTTTCTGTAATAAAAAAAAATAGCTTGAATTTTTTTTTCTTCATTGTCTATTGTTGATTTTAATATGAAATAGAACGCAAGAAAGTTGGTTTTAAAAGAAATAGGATTGAATATGAAGATGTAAAGTGCAAAAAGTGAAAAGAGAATAGAGAATGAAAGATTGAGATTAATTATAAGATGGGGTGTTTAAAACACTAATACTTTTTGTCAATTTCAAGTACTTTTTTGGTCATTTTGAATAGGGACGTAATTTATTTATTTATTCATTAAGTTGAGGTATCCAACCAATCTTTTGAGGTACAAATAGAGCCACCCATTAAATAATCCTTATAAATATTAATTAAGTTAATTTAATGATTAGGCGAATGTGAAAAGTTTTTTTATCTCCATAAAGAGGATTTTATTGCATGTGCTTAAGTTTGAACCAATGTAATGAGTAGAGAGAATGTAGTAATAATCAAGTTGAGAATGGGAGGAAGAGACAAACATAAAGTAATTGATTAATTGAATAATTCAATTACACTTGTGTTACCTTGATTGTTCTGGAAACTTCGAAGGTAAGAACTGGAAAAGAAAATTACAATTCTTAGTTAAAAACTACTCATAGGAAAGTAAATGCAAAGCAAGAAAAGAGAAAAACAAGATATTGATATGTTGAATTTGTTCGGAAGATTTTCTCTGTCTTTTATTTCGACTATTTATAGGTGTTATTCAAATTTGCAGTAGCTGTTGAATCTCACATCCATGATCTCCACCATTATAACTACATTCATAGGCTTTTCCCTACTTCAATTCTGAATTTGAATTTCAAGGCTCTAGTTGTTTCCTTATAATTGCTTGAAATGGTTACACCCTTAAGCCTTGCTCTTCAACTCATGATATATAATTGAAGTTGAGAACTGCCACATGACACTTATTACAACCCAACATTTGTCCCTTTCTGGTCTACCATGTGCTCTCTCTTGATTGGTTGATCCTATATCTTCATATTATGCCACGTGCCACCTTCGAATTAGTTGGTTTGAATTCATGGCCAACAGTCACATATTTTTCTGGTAACAGTTACAACAATTTGTAGTTTAAAAATGAAGTTACACATTTTTGTGATAATGTTACATATTTTGTTGTATTATTGCACATTTTGTGGTTATAAAATATGGACACTTGGGCAATAAATTCACTTTTGGATTTTCTTTGCTCAAAGGCCCATGTGCTAAAACATTATATTCATAAGGACAAACTCCTACAAAATGACCATAATACTCATCACTATTTGTTTGGATCACGCGTGTTTCAAACCATCTCTCACACTTATTTGTCTTTTTCATCTTCTCTCTCTGTCTCCTCATCTTCT